GGTGTAAGATATAAAAATATGCTTATTGGGGCTTCTCTGGTGGTGCAGTGGTTGAGAGTCCGCCTGCCGATTCAGGGGACACGGGTTTGTGCCCCAGTCCGGGAGGATCCCCCATGCCGCGGAGCGGCTGGGTCCGTGAGCCATGGCCGCTGAGCCTGCGCGTCCGGAGCCTGTGCTCTGCAACGAGAGAGGCCACAACAGCGAGAGGCCCGGATACCGCAAAAAAAACCAAAACAAACAAACAAACAAAAATATATATATATATATACTTACTGCTAAAAGCTTTTGTGATATAAACTATATTCTGAAAGGTTCAGATTAAGGTTCATTGAGAGAAGAAGAGGAAACACATACATTTGGCCCTCCGTATCTGCAGGTTCTACATCAGTGGATATGGAGGGCTGACGGTACTATACCATTTCATATAAGGGATTTGAGCATCCTTGGATTTTGGTATCCATGGAGGATTCCAGAGATGCGAGGGACAACTGTATCTTAGAAGATAATGTAGTATGTATGGTTTTATAACTCCCCTACCCCCTCCAGAACTGCTGTGCTTCTTTGAGTTATTTACATGTTATCACATGCTTGGGTGAAACTGTGAATTTTTCTTCCTCATTACACTTCCTGGTAAGTCATTAATATTTTGAGAACATTTTGGAGAGAAGAAAATACTAAATACTCCATCATTTGAAGTAGTTATAAAATTTCTCATTTATTTTTTAGTTTGAAGGTTAGAATGACCTGTAAGATAACTACTTCATTAATTCATTGTGCTTGGGGATCTTTTTAGGGTATTAAACTTACTTATTTCTAATCATTCATGTAACCGCTTTTATTCCCATAAAGTGTGTTAAAATTTTCACGTGGCTTTATTTTTTTGACAGTTTCTTAAATAGCAGAGAAAATATGATGTGTCTTCTCTATATTTAAATTTTAATACAATTGCTAATTTTAGTATTATTAAACATCAATGTTTTAAGAAATTAGGTTAAAAAGAATTGTTACGAAAAATAAAGAGTTTAAATCAAGTAAGGAATATACAGTGTGCCTGGATTGTTAGAAGTTCGGTTAATGAAATGAGGCTCATATTTGAAATGAATAATTATTTAGTCACATGTAACTAAGTTATTTTTGTTGCATTATTAGAGAAGTACAAAAAAATGAATTTCTCTTAATTTTTATTTTTTAGCAAATTTTAAAAGCTTGTATTGAACAAGTGAAAAAGTATCCAGAATTCTATACTCTCCATGAAGTCACCAGCTTAATGGGATTCTTCCCATTCAGAATAGAGATGGGATTAAAGTTAGAAAAAACTCTTCTTGCATTGGTAAGGTTTACCATAAGAAAATAAAAATAAACTTCTTTTTGTCTGAAACATCATCTGTATTTCACACAGAAGCATAATTTAGATATATTTCAGTATTTATGTTTAAATTTTGAGCAGTAACGAGATATAATTTTTAAAATACGCAATACAAATGTGTCCCCTTTTAATATATGACTACCATTACTTGATGTTTTTAAAAATATCACCACTGGGACTCCCCTGGTGGTCCAGTGGTTAAGACTCTGCGCTCCCAGTGCAGGGGGCCTGGGTTCAATCCCTGGTCAGGGAACCAAATCCCACATGGCTCAACAAAGATCCCGTGTGCCACCAGCTAAGACCCGGTGCAGCCAAATAAATAAATAAATATTTAAAGAAAAAAGAAAAAGTTAAAAAAAAATATCACTACCAACTTTATTTCTTGATTTTGTTTTCTTAGTTTCCATCTCTTTTATGTTTCTGAATACAAGCAGAAAGCTACTTTTCTTTTAAGGGGATTTTACTCAATATCATATTGGAAGTAGGTGTGTGTAAAGAAGATATTTTAGAGTTTCTCTTATACCCTGCTCTGACTTGTACTTCGTAAAATGAGAGGTTAGAATTTAAAATGACAGGGCAAATTTCATGGCACCCTTATCTTGGACCCTTTTTAAAAAAAAAAAACCTATATGGGTGACTTCCCTGGTGGTACAGTGGTTAAGAATCCTCCTTCCAATGCAGGGGACTCAGGTTTGATCCCTGATCGGGGAACTAAGATCCCACATGCCGCAGGGCATCTAAGCCCACATGCTGCAACCACAGAGCCCACGCACCCCAACTATAGAGCCCACGCGCTCTGTAGCCTGCACACCACAACTAGAGAGCCTGTGTGCCACAACGAAAGATCCCACGTGACCTAGCTAAGACCCAATGCAACCAAAAATAAATAAATAAATAAAATCTTTAAAAAAAAACTATATGGTGGTTGTCAAGTAAAAGCATTAAGGTCTTGTCTTAAGAAGGCTCTAAATTTGATATTTGCATTTAGTACAATGAAGAATTTTAAGTTATAAGTTTCATATGATGAAAAGATACTTCAGGGAAAAAATACATCAAGATTTCTGCAATAAAACATTCATTTTTTTTCTTACTTAGGGCAGTGTAAAATATGTGAAAACAGTATTTCCCTCAATGCCTGCAAAGTTGCAGCTGTCAAAAGATAACATACCTACCACTGAAATACCAGAACAAACAGCTGCAGCTATGCATTATGTAAGTAGTAAAGTGGTTTTGGATCTTCCTAAGCAATCTTCTGTCCTTACAAAGTACATGTAACCTGGTTGTTCTAAAGTACCCTTCTTGAATTTCTCCCTTCTTTTCATTATTTAATCAAAGAAGTTTCTAATAAGTGTAATCAAGCAACAAGTTTTATGTTGTTTTTCAGGACATCAGTAAAGACCCAAATGCAGAGAAGCTTGTTGCAAGATATCACCCTCAGATAGCTCTAACTAGTCAAGCATTATTTACCTTATTAAATAATCATGGACCAAGCTACAAGGAACAGTGGGAAATTCCAGTGTGTATTCAAGTAATACCTGTCACAGGTTTGTGATTTGCCATGTTAAGTAACACTCTCAAAAGAGGAGTTGAAACAGTTCTATTTCAGCTGTCTAATTATAGGTGGTCATTTGTCAAATACAGAAAGCTAAGTTTTGATTTAAGGAGGATGTAAACTTGACAATTACATTCAGTAGAAGAACTTTTTAATATATAGTGCTCAGTACACAACTGACACTCATAAATGAGTTATTAGATTTACAGGACTTGTATGCATGCTGGGTGTGTGAGAAGTAGAGAAAAAATTATAGTTTAGGGTGGCCAAAGATGCATGAAATGGTGAGGTTCTTCTGTCTTTCACTGAAATAAAAGGAATGCAATACTTTATTAGACAGCCTCACATGGATTAGTTTCCAGGGTTTATTTACTTACCTATTATTGGAATTCAGATTTAAATAAGTCTATACTTATAAGATAGTCTCTCTCTTAACAGTAAAATTAATATTTACACATAAATTCTGTACAAAATATTATTCTCCTTCTATTTTTGTTCATATTTAATAATTTTCTCATATCTTTTAGAATTAATATTCTTATATGTAATAACATAATTGGAATAAATGAAGGACTATGTCTAAAACCAAAACTACAAATTAGAGTTAAATGTAATATATTCTCTGTGGTAAACATTTTATCACTTTTTGAACGTATAACCCAAGAGGAACCGAGTAATAATGACAGTAAAAGTATAACAATAAAAAACAGAAAATCTTTTTTTAAATTGTTAGAAAAAGAACATATTTTTCTTGCCAGTAAGCGTCTCTTGCCCTTAGATCTCTCAGGGACTTTAAAAATCTTTTTATTCAAGGCACACGTATGGGACATGTGCTTCCAGTTTCCTGTCCTCTGTCTCTTTGTTTAGTAATTCTTCTGTTGTACATCCTGGTTTGTTTGTTTTTTAATATGACTACTAGTAACTAATCACTCCCATTCTTTTTCTGTTTTAAGGTTCAAAACCAGTTAAAGTAATTTATATTAATTCACCACTTCCCCAAAAGAAAATGACAATGAGAGAGAGAAATCAAATCTTCCATGAAGTTCCCTTAAAATTCATGATGTCCAAAAACACAACTGTTCCAGTCTCTGCAGTATTTATGGACAAACCAGAAGATTATATATCTGAAATGGATGTATGTAATGCTTTCTTTTCTCTTCCTTAAGAGAATGTACTTGGTTATCCTTTTGAAGAATAACATTTTATTGCAAGCCTCTAAATTTGGTAGTTAAAAATACAGACTTTAGATTGAAACTTAAAATTGAACCCCATGTGGATCTAGACTTTAGACAACTAATTTAACCTCCTTCAGCCTCAGTCTTCTTCTTTTATAAAAGAAAGATGATAATACCTACTTCATAAAATTGCTGTCAGGATTAAGTTTGATATTTATACGTAAGGTGCTGAGCACAGCCTTTAGTAGTAAGATGCTGAGCACAGTCTTTAGAACGTATGTACTAAAAATTCAGTCAGTAATGGTATCATAGTGGTGATGGTTTTATTTAATTAGTCTCATTTATATTCAAGAGTTTTTAAGTATGAAAAGGAACAGATGAGTTTGACTGGGGCAGAAAGAATTTGCCGGATTGTTAATCCTTTTTAGTGTATGCTTATTATCTGCGTGACCGTAGGCAAACTACTGTAATCTCTTTGTGTCTAGTTTGCTCTGTCTGTAAGATGGGTATCATGATAACCTAACTCATAGAATTCTTGGGGATTAAATGAGTTAATACACCTAAAGCATTTAGAACAATGCTTGGTACTCCATAACTACTAGTTTTTATTATTTTGTGTATTTTGAAATATTTTTCCATGATTATTAGAACAAGACATTCTGTTTATACAAAACTTTATTCATCCATTCCACAAATATTTATTGAGCAGATACTGTTCCATGCACTGAGGATACAGCAGTAAATAAAAATGAAGTCTCTTTTCTTTCAGAACTTATATTAGTGTCAGAGGGCACAGATAATTAAAACAGTATCAAAAAAGCACACATTGATAAATGCTATGCAGAAAAATGGAGTAGGTTAAGGGGAAAGAGATGTGAATGGGATTCATGATCAGGAAGGCTTTTCCAAGGACAGGAAATTTAAACAGGGACTTGAATAAAGTGAGAGAGCAAACAAAATTAGAAAATAAAATAGAAAATTTTTTTCTTATTTACATATAAGAGCTCATACTATTTTAAGAATATTGGCCTTTTGTCTTTCATATTTGTTTATGTTTTTTTTGGTTTGCCATTTTCCTTTCAGTATTTTTATGATGTGTATGTCATAAAGCACTTCCAACTTAAGTTTTTTGGAGGTATTTTTGTTTTTTGTTTTGTTTTACATTTTTAAATCTACCTAAAATTTATATTGGTGTGAGGTGAATGTCAGTAAGTAACAAGTGCTATGAAGAAACATGAAGCAGGTTAAGAGGGATGAAAAGTGACGGAGTAACTTCTTTCAGTAATTGCAGACCAAGTAATTCGAGCCTTCCATTACCGTTGACAACTAAAAAAAGCTGGACATATTATATAAGTTTATTTCTTAGAATCATCAAAGACCTAACAAGATAGGGGGAACTATCTGAGGACTGAGATACTAAAGAAGACCAGAATCCAGGTTGGTAAGCCTGTCACTTAGGGTAGTTTTTGCCCTGAATGGTATTTGCCAGTTCTGAAGAGGCAACAGAAAATGTGCTTTTGGCAGCATCACAGGACTAGGGGGACAAAAGTCAGAGTTCAGTTTTCCACCATGAGCTTGGACCCTGCAGGGCTATACCCCAGGAGTAAGAGTGAACAAGAAATAAATCAGCCCTCTTGTAGATTGTATTCTGAGTTTTCAGGCCTTGAACTTGGATTCAGATGCTTTTGGATTGCTAGTGTCTCTAGATACCTAGCAAAAGCAAGTGAAAATAATTCTTAGAGGAACAGAATGTCATTTTGAGCCTCAAATTATTTCTACAAGCAAGTTTTTTAAATATAGCATCTGGAAAACATTTAAAGATAACTAGACACTGGAGGAGTAAATAAAAATGAAGTTTCTTTGCATGTACTGGATACTCTGAGCAGCAACCATCACAAACAATGACCAAAGAAATAGACTCACAGAAATGGATCCTAGAATTATCAGTCACAAACTGTGAGCCAACTCTGTTTAATTATACAACATGCACGAAAATTAAAGCCATGCTTTAATTGGAAGGAATATGCCTTGCAATGCAGGGGACGCAGGTTAGATCCGTGGTAGGGGAGCTAAGATCCCACATGCCGTGGGACAACTAAGCCCGTGTGCCACAACTACTGAGCTCGTGCGCCTCAACCAGAGAGCCCGCGTGCTGCAAACTAGAGCTCACATGCTCTGGAGCCTGTGCACCACAAGTACAGGGCCCACATGCCCTGGATCCTGCCCGCTACAGCTAGAGAGAGAAAACCCGCATGCCACAACTAGAGAGAAGCCCGTGTGCTACAAGGAAGACCCAATGCAGCCAAATAAATAAATAAATATATTTTTTTAAAGTACAGTTAAGAATTCTGTAAAGTGGGTTATTAGCACATTAGATAAAACTCAGAATTAATAAACTGGAAGATGGGTCTGAAATGACTATAATGAAACAGGCAACAAAAAGCAAATATGGAGAATAGGGCAAGAGGTATAGAGAATGTAGTGAGAATGTCTAACATTTGTGTACTTGCGCCCAAAAGGGAGGTGCAAAAGAGGTAATGGGACCAAACCATACTTGGAGACAAAGAAAAAACTCTTAAAAGCCACCAGAGAAACAAAAGGCACATTAGCTATAAAGGACTGAGAGTTAGATTGGCAAGTAACTTCTCAACAACGATGGAAGCCAGAAGACATTGGGACAATATATTCTCCTGAGAGAAAATAACCCTCTTACTAAAATTCTCTAATCAGTGAAATATCCTTAAATAATAAAAAGTTAAGAAAAGATATTTTCAGATAAAAACTGAGTTTGCTACTAGCAGACCTCCTCTAATGGATGTTCTTCAGGCACAAGGAGAATAATCCCAGATGGAAAGAGGATGGTGAAAGATGCAAGAATGAATAAAGAATAGCAAAAGTGAAAATAATGTGGATGGGCTCTAATTTGTAGGTGAGTGCAGGGGCACTCAGGAACTTAAATAGTTCTGAGATGACCTGGGTCCTAAGAACTCTAGAAACTAACCAGCCAAAGTTCCTTCCAAGACAAAAGCCTTGGCTCGGGAAAATTCACCAGTGGTAAAGTTCATATTGAGCAGAACAAGGGCATTAAAAGTAAATGAAAAGTAAGTTTTCAGATAATTGTGGGAGAGGGAAATAGAGAAAGCAGATATCAGAATGTACTAAAGATTTTATATGCACACACAAGCACATACAAACCTACATGCATACATACATACATCATGGTAACAGTGAAGCATGAGCTTAGAGCCATGAAGCTAAGAAAGCTATCCTGGCACACTCTCACACACTCTTGTCCTCCTGCAGAAGCAGGTGTGCCCATCTCAATTAAACATGAGAAACAGAAGAGAATTGTTGATGGAAATTCTTACAAAGTTATTAGAGGAAGAAAAGATAATTGCTATAACATTTCTACAGTCAAATGAAGAGAGATGTACCCACGGAACAGATGAAAACTAATGTGTTCATCCTTTGCCCTGGAAATCTCACTTCTAGAAATGTAGCTCAGAAGTACACTAGGAAAAGAATAAAATATTTGTGCAGGGTATTCACCGCAACTGTAGGTATTCATTAGAAACAGTCGTCATGTCCCTTAATAGGGTATTTATTAAATAAGCTGTACATCTTCAATAGCATACTATGCAACTATTACAGGCATACCTTGTTTTAAAGCACGTTGCTTTATTGCACTTCAAAGATGCTGCGTTTCTTACAAATGGAAGGCTTGTGGTAACCCTGCATCAAGCAAGTCCGTCATCGCCCTTTTTCCAACAGCATTTGCTCACTTCATGTCACTGTGTCACATTTTGTAATTCTTGCAGTATTTCAAACTTAATCATATTTGTTAATGGTGATCTGTGATCATTGATTTTTTTTTTTTTTTTTTTTTTTTCGGG